AAAGGCAGCCAGCAATATCAAACCACGGAGAATTTGTGTGCCACGGCGACCCGAATCCACTGCTTTGGAACTGTTTGAACCCCTCGGGATTTTCTATGTCGCCTACCTCTCTGCCCGGGCCCTCGCCTTCTAAGACCCCACACGGGTTGCTGACCTGCCATAAGCCCCCCACCTCCGCCTCCCCCGCCCCCTTCCCCAGGGGGGTCCTTACGGGGGACTAACTCCAAGTGCACCGCCCTCGCCCTCTACTTCGCTGCTATACCTGCCTTGGGTTTACTTAGACCGGGGGGAGGGGAGGGGGAGGGGGCGTCGTCTGTGTGATGCAGGGATGCAGACCTACCTCCCCCCACCCTCACCTCCCCCTCCGGGATCAACGATCAACAGCCGCCTATATACCCTCCGTTACACAGCTCCTCCCGGTCGCAAGAGGAGTTCGCAGGTATCCGAGACGAGAGGGGCTCTTCTCTCCCAGCACATGCCCTCCTAGCAGCGCGCTGGCGGGGGCCGGGGGGAAATTAATACAAGACCCGACGAGGTAAGACTCGAGGTAAATCTGGTAAATCTAAATCAGCTACTCGCGACGTTTCATATTTTAACCACACTGAGAGCTCAAGTACCAGGTGGCTGATTAACCCCGCACATTTTTGTACTATGCAACCCGCCCGCACGGCTCCACCCGGGACTGCATACCCACCAGGCGCTAGGGACCGGCTCCAAGCGCCAGCGCGTCGCTCTGCCACTGTTGTTGCAGCCACCGCCCTGGGGCGTTACAAAGGGGTTGTTCGAGGTTTCTAGAGGGTTCCCGCGGGTCCGCGGGGGTGACTAGCGGGTGCGCGGGGGTAGCTCGCGGGTCCGCGAGGGTAGCTCATGGGTCCGCGGCGGTACATCCGCGGACCGCGAGTTTCGCCCGCGGACCCGCGTGCTACCCTCGCGGGCCCGCGAGTTCCCCCGCAGAATTAAATAACAAGCACGAGTGGGGGGTGGGAGGTTGTACAGGTACGACTCGTTGACTCGTTTTGTCAATGCCGAATTACAAAATATATCGTACATATGTACAAACATATTTTTTACAGTGTTATTGCAGTGCCCGAAATGTGGCCAAGAACAGATTTCCTCGCGCTTATGCAATTTGCACCGTCCTTACATTTGTTCACAAACTGGCTTTTAAAAAATGCAATCTCGTGGCGTAAACCTGGCTTCCATCCATTATTTTATTGAGAGATTGCCCGTCCTTTTATTTGGCTCGCTCCTTCTCTCTGCGCATTGCAACCGCGGCGGGGTCGAGGGCCGCGGCGAAATGGCCGCACCGCTTTTGCTTTCATAGGAGACAATATGATGCGACAACGCGCGTTTATGCCATCCTGCTCGTCGTCTTATTCAACAGCGAACGTCGACATCGCGTCACGCCGGTCCGGTCGTCCACCCCGCACCCGCACAGCCCGGAGGAGTCCGGCTTTGAGCAGCATAGGGCGGCGAGCGGCAAAGGGACGCGAAGGGGTGCGGGGGCCCGATGGGGGCCCGGGGGTACAAAAGAGCCCCCCCGAACCCCGCCCGGATAGGACTGCACACTGCATAATTGGCGACACGGAGGAGATCTGCTCGCAGAGCATGGCCAGCGGTAGCCCGGGCAATCCGTCAAAATAGCTGTCAGCCGACGAGTGTGTTGACCCCCAAGCAAACGACACTGTGGGAAAACAAAGAACTACGCCCATCCTCCGCGTCCCCATCCTTGCCGCTGCTTGCTTTTGTCAAAAAATAAAAAGAAGATAGAAGTCGATAAACTTTTCTATGTATACGGTTGTACTTTTCCTTTACAATCAATCCACTATCGTAAGAGAATTTATTGTTTTAAATCATACATTTACCCGTTAGTTTCTCCGTACTTGATCCAAGAACTCTTTATTTTTGGCGTAGTGAGGAAAGGCAAATTCCTGCGCTAGTATAGCAGTACACAACGTACACAACTATGTATATCTATAATGTATCCGTGGTATGTTTCTATTTGCGACGCGAAGAGTGGCGACGTAAGAGCGACAAGCAACACGCGACAGCCCCGTATTGGTCCGAACAAGGGAATGAAATTTTCAGCTCTCTGAAAGAAAGGCTAGGGGCGGTGTGGGAGGTGAGGGCGGCGCAACGGTGTGGACATTCGGGACCGCCAGCAATTCTGTTTCGGAAGTGAGATCTTATTGTCTTAAATTATAAAAAGAGAGCAGTTTCCATTACATGTACTCGAATGAGCAATAAAAATAAAAAACAATCACTTTTTTTCCAATAGAAAAGAGCGGGGCTGGGCCGAACCGTTAAGCGAGAAATGGGCAACGGTGCGACAAAATGAAAATGATTACGATCGTAAGCTATTGTGTGTTGGGATACAGGAGACGGGATGAGGATGAAGAAGGGACACCACCTGCGCCAGGAACACCTACGCACACATGCGCATCAGAAACGCTCGCAGACGACAGGCAAAGCAGCACGATGTTGGCGCTGCCATGCTTTGAATTTTGAACGCATGTATTCTCTATTCAAGTACAGGACCTTAAATTTTTGAGAAGTTCCTTACGTTAAGAAAAGATTCGACCTTTATTAAAATTGTTTTTAATTGAAAGGGGAAGGGAGAGCAAAAGTGACCCTCCCCCGCACTCTCATTTCCTTATGGACACGCTTACGGTGAATTTTGTGCTAACATATTATGGATCACAAATTATCCATAATATGGATAAAATTGTCCGTATTACAGACAATTTGATCCATATTACAGACATGCCTTCATCCGTAGGGTATGGACGAAAGGTCTATACCTTACGGAGGAGGGCATGTCTGTAATATGGATCAAATTGTCTGTAATACTGACAATTTG